ATTCAGTAAATATGTTATACTAAATGCTATACGATTTTCGCAAAACTGATATTCTAAAACACTCGGTAATTCAAAGAGGTTAAATATGCTTTTCATTGCCTTTCAGACAATCAGTTTCAAAACTCTTGGGACAGATGCCACAAAACCTTTGAATTTCAACAAACGACAATCCCCGCGCTCCCTGTTCAATGTTGTGTCGCATTTCTCGTCGAGTTTGATGTGTTTTGGTTTAAACAACATTGATTGGGGTGGAGGGAGGGGGAGGGGAGCGGTATTGTGTGTAAAAAAACTATAATTATCCACTTACAAGCTAAAACTACATGTGTCCCAACAACTTCTGAAAGTGATTGTAGAATTAGGGCGATATTTTCTATACATATTCGTAGTGAAGGACTGCAGTTCGTGTAAAATCAACCCAAGATTTAATTCAGCTGGTTGACGCGCCGTTTTTCTCGAATATTGCCAAGTCAGATTCTTGTAGTTGTATTACAAGTATATCGGACCATATCGGCTTCTTATTGTTCGATTGCACGCGAGGATCGAATGTAGCCAAAAATTGTCAGCGAGTTTTTCTTGTCAAATTAATTTAACACCAGCAGTGCTCTCTATAATATTTTCTTTGAACATCAAATATACAAGCTAGTTTTGTTCTCGAGTCTCCATGTTTCCTCGTTTATCCGTCCACCTGTCACGTGTCCCCCCACGTGATAACATAGGATATTACATCCCTCCCTTTCTGGGATTTAGAGACGTGCTAAAGTCACACTAAACATAACTAGTAAAAGAACCCAAATTTAAAGTCAAATGTCAACTAAGTGTTTGTCATATAAGGTTCACTCAATGTGATTCGTAAAGTACATGCATGCATGTCTTAATACAGTCTGTCAGACACGGTGACAAGTACTGGGAGCTTATTAGTCCGACAATAAGTTCCTTATTCAGCGATATGCATAGTCTGCTAGATGTCTTGGTGGCGCTCGAACGCGTTGAGGATAACGGTGAGGTTCTTGTTGCTGTTCTTCAGCCTGTGCAATGTTGTCCGGTTCACCGTCCGTATCTTCGAGGTTATCATGTTCTCCATCGGTTGAGTCGCCTTCCGTTGGTTCATCTTGTTGTCTGACGAGCTTGAAGAACGACGAGTTTCTGGTCACTGTCTTTTCTCCTCGCGTGGCGGTTACCATCGACCCTTTGCAGCTGATTACTTTGTATGGCTTTGGTTC